TGCTAGAAAAGTGCTACAAATAGCTTACAACAGTTTACATCTTACTAAGTAATTGTGGATACTTAGTAATAATGGTGCAAACGTGTTGTGTCACAAATTGCAAAGAACGGCAAAAGCGTGATAGGACTATATCTTTTCATCAGTAAGTGTTTCATCACTTTCAATGTTTATTAGCTGAATATAATATCGCATAACCTATAATCAATACNATTTAATGTATATTTGAGATTGTTTTGTAGCAATTCTAAAAGAATTTACTTACTTACAGATTTCCAAAAAATCCAGAATTACAACAGCAGTGGAGAAAAGCAATAAAATGTGGTAATTTTAATCCTTCATCTCATGCAAGAGTATGTTCAAAACATTTTTCAAGTGATTGCTTTGTTGAAAGTCCTTGGAGTTCGAAGAGGATATTAAAATCTAATGCTATCCCAAATGTACCACATATACTTGAAACGCAACATATGCAAGAAAAGGATATACTCAATGTTCCATGCATTGAAACAAAAAACAAAACTGCAAAGTATAACTCCCTTCAATATTTGATCAATACTTGAACTAATCTATAATTATATAATTTTACTATAACTTTTCTTTAGCTTAAAAAATAAATGTGAAGATGAAAGCTTAATACATACTGTTAGTGCTAACGAAGAAAATGTATCACTGGAGAAGCCTTTAAGAAAGAAGCGAAAAGTTTATGTTGGTGATTTTGAGGAATGTGATGTAATAAGTGAGAAAAAAAACTATGTAGAGATCATTAACACAACAATAGCAAAGAAAAACAAACAAATTAAAATATTGCAACAGAAAAACAGAAGGCTTATAAAAAAAATTAAAGATTTACATTCGATATTTGGTAGATATACAAGAAAAAGAAGGATTACATTTAGGAACTAAAATAACAAAGCGGCATATTAACTGGTTTAAAGAAAAAATGAAAGTGAAGCTCGCTGCCCAAACGTTTAGTTTCAGTGTAGCAAAAGCCTTGCAATATTTAAGAGAAACAAACTATTCTCCAAATTTTGAAAATTGTGAAGCAACGGAACAATTTATTAGTTTCATGAACGATGCTTTTGATATATTGAATAATAGAAATCTGTTAGCCAAGAGTTTTAAAGCTAGTGTACAACAATATAATAAAGATATTATATTTAACAAAATCAATGAAGTAATTAACTACATAATTTCTTTAAAATGCGGACCATGCAAAGAACCATTGCACTTAAGTCAAAGAAAAACTGGTTTTGTAGGATTTATAATTAGTTTACGATTACTTATGCACATATATAATCAATATGTTGACAGTCCAATCAAAAAATTAAAATATTTACTGGCATACAAACTTTCTCAAGACCACCTTGAGGTTTTTTTTAGTGCCATCAGAAGTATGGGAGGACATAATAATAATCCTACTGCAAAACTTTTTNAAGCTGCTTATAAAAAATTATTAATACATACTGGCGTTACCGGCTCTTTGCAAGCTAATTGCATTGAACAAGTTCCTACAATCATTTTAGCAGTAAGTACTTCGAAAGGAAACAAAATGAAGACAATTGATAATCTGTTAACAGAAAATTTTGCACCGTTTTATGAAAATACCGACCATAATTATTATATTACAAGTGCAAGTTATTCTAAAGACCTATCATTGTATATATCAGATATTATTGAATATATTGCTGGTTTTGTAGTCCAAAAAATAAAAAGCACTGTGCAATGTGAAATATGTTTAAGAGCGATACAGTCAGATACNTCGTCTGGTAATTTTGTAAATATAAAAAATTATAGCAATGTAAAACAAGCTCTAACAATANCTTCGACCGATGTTATACATATTTGCAAAATTGCCGAAGCAGAGATACGACTTTTAAAGAAAGCGAATCAATTAGTGCAAACAAATATATTACAGAAGTTAATTATAAAAATTATGAAGAATGTTTGTTCATCAATATTTAGTGAATATTATGAACATATAAAAACAGGAAATGTATAATGGCCATTTAAAGTAACCGAATGCTCAGTTACTTTAATATTTCTATATTGTAATCATGTGACTTGTATAAGTTTTAATTCAAGAACATCATATTTATATATATATTGATAAAGGCCTAATCTAAGGCCGAAAACGTTCTATATGTTACCTGCTTGAATAAAGTAATGCATCTATTATACACAAATTATCACCAGTGTTTTTGCTTCAAATGGCCATTATACATTTCCTGTTTTTATAAGAATTTATTGAAGCTTACTACACTCCTATTATGAACATATGTACAATAACAATGTAGAGTCAAATCATATACATTTAATTAAAATTATAAGTTTTTATTATTGTAATGTGCGATTATATTATAAAGGAAATAGTTTAATAGATGACAATAAAATAAGAAGTAAACTTACAAAAANTATTTTATTTTGTAATCAATAATAAATAAATAATAAATAATTTTTCCTATGTATCTATTGTTCTTATTATTTATATACACTACAATACGTTCTAAAGAAATAATTAGATTGAATATTACCAAAATCTCAAAAAATTTTATAATATTATTATAAAATTTTATAATAATTATACATTATTATAATAATAATAAATTTTAAGTAATTATAATAATTACACAGCCACACAAAAAAAAAAATTTCTTTGGCCTGGGGATCAGACCATGTTTATTATATGTTTTTGGGGTCGCTGAATCCGAATCCGAGGTCCATTAAACCCCATCGGGTCGGAGTTCCGCCATAACCTCAAAAAACACCATAA